TCTTCCATAGCTGTTGGTTTTACTAGCACTTTCGTATATATAGAACAGTTGTGAATAACCTTGATTGTTTTATATATGATCGCAGTATACTATCCGCTCCTCGGATTCCTAGGCTATAATTCAGTCAAGGAGGCTAAGGAGTTCAGGCGTAAGTACCCCAACAGGGATTTGCAATCCAAATTTGGCAAAAGTCAGGATTTGCGCTTAAACAACATCATGAGGAGGGATCTAGTTCGTGCCTTGGTGAAGAAAACCGCCGGTCAGAAGAATTCTGGCAAAAAACCGACCGAAGTGGGGTCGAGTGCGACCTCGGCTGCTATTCCAGGAAGCCCGAGGTCTTTACAAGAGGTGACTACTACCGAGGTGCCACCAGTCGTGAGTGCAGTTGCTATTAACCAGGCAGACCCTGAACCCGTCGTAGTGGGAACAGAGGTGGTTACGGCCGAGGTCGTACATACCGAAATGCCGCCCTCTTCTCCGAAGTCCCTGGAGTTGGAACAACCGGAGAAGAAGAAAAAGAGAAAATTGGTGAAGATGGCCGACGTTGGTGCCTCTTCCGGAGTGGAGAAGAGGTCAAAGAAAAAACATGACTCCGGTCACAAGTCTGTTGAGAAGAAGGTTGATGAGTCGCCCTTATTTGAGAAGTCGTTCTTATCAATTGATGAAGAGAGGGCGGCCAAAGTGAAGGTGCCCGAAGGCGTTGTGGAGGAATGGTTCACTACCTTCAAATCGGTTAAATCTCCACACATGTCCTCAAGGATCGATATGCCGGAGAACGCAAAAAGCGCAGCAAGGGTACCTTTGATGGTATGGGACCCGAAGTCCGAAGTGGGGGTATCGTCCTTATCAAGCGTTGACAAGTTAAACTATGCCAAGGCATGTTTGGGCCGAGCTTTGGTTAGCCTTGTTGCTGCTGAAGACAATCATAGCCGGATTGCGGCTCAGCTGGATGGGAAGAGGGACATTATTGCGGCTCGGGATATGATGATTGTCTCGCTGAAGGAAGAGTCGGCTAAGACGGAGGCCGGCTTGAAAGGAAAAATTTCTGAGCAAGTTATTCAATTAGAAGCGGCGCAGGCTGAGAACTCGGCACTGTCCGAGGAGAAGAAGGCATTTGAGGCTGAGGTGGCCGATCTTAAGGCGCGCCTCGCCGTGGTTGAGCAACACTTCAAAGCCTCGGAGGCAAAATTGGAGGAAACAGAGAAGGCGCTGTTAGATGAAAAGGTGGGGCATGAAACAACTCGCCAAGAGTATACCGAGGTCCGTGAGCTGGTAGGTCGGCAGAAGGATGCCCATCAGGCCGAGATGGACAAACTTGAAAGAGAGAAATCGGCATATGGGGAGTTTATGTATGAGAACGGCTTTCAAGCTGGGAAGGACTCTGTTGCGGCCGTGGAACTGAAGTTTGGTGATGGTACCGGGGTGGAGGCCGTTGACGCCGGTGATGAGGATGAGGTCGGTGGACCTGACCTCGAGATCGAAATGAACACTTGCTTGAATCTGCGATGGGTCATTGAGCGTTATGATACGGGTTATTATGACATCGACGATATCCGGTTGTTCCTGTTCCACAAACTCGAAAAATACGGCTTCAACACTGAGATTAAGGGGATGCATATGGAGGCGGATGAGGATGAACGCGAGTTTTGTGTTTGGATGCTCCGCCGATCTGAGGAGATGAATGCTAATCCTGACCTGCCGCCACTTTCCGAGGACAGAGCTGCTCTTCTCCGACGTGCTTATGTTAACATGATTTTGGAAGGAGAGAAGGAGAAGAGGAAGGAGCTGGCCAACGTCTATCTCTCAACCCTGGCCGATATGGAAGTCGAACAACATTTCGACGACATGACCCCGGAGGAGATTCAGAGTAGGGTTAAGGCCTACATTGAGGAGAAAGCTAAGTCTTCTGAGAAGGAGGTCGAAGTCGTTGAAGCGCCTCAGGTGGCTGGAGAGAAGTCGGCTGAAGATGGGGATCCTCAGCACGAGTTTATTCCGATTACTGATGCTGCCATTGATGCGGCGGCTAAGGCCAAGGAGGTGGCGATGCTTGATCATCTTCAGAAGCAATTTTCGAACAACTCGGAAGTCGGTGAAGGTAGCGGTGCTGGTCAAGATGCTGAGAAGAAAGATGACGCCGCCTGAAGGTTCAGTTCTTTTTATGTTTTTTTCTTTTTTTTTTTTTATATATATTTGAAGTATATAGTCGGGGTGCCAGCATGTTGGCATCCTTAGTAGGAAATATATGATATTTGCAATGTGTAATCGGGGATATCAGGTAACTGATTCCCTTAGTAGGAAATATGTAAGGGTCTTCCCAATTTTTTTTTTTAAGATATATATATATATGAAGTGTTTGCATAATTTTCATTTTGATTCAGGTTTGCTGTACTATCTTCAGCAATTTTTTCGACCAAGTGTTCTGAACTCGTTTCGGATTATAAAATGAATTGCTTCAACTCGGGTTTATTTATATCGTTAACCGAGTCGTGGGCTTTTATAAGAATAATTTCCGAGTTCCACTTTGATCTTTGGTTTTGTGATAATTTCAGCCACAAGTGCAAGTCGATATGCGAGTTTTCAAATAACTCGCAAAACTTAACACATATTTAGGGCCGTGCGTGAAATAAAATAGAGGTCACCGAACTTTGTCAGAGTTCGATTATGGAATGGCCCCAACCGATTTATATTTTTTGTATTCGGTAATATTCGGGACCCGTCACATCATGTGTGTCGAAATGACGTTTGACGTGCGTCGCCCCCATCCGAAACATGTGTGGAGTTCGGATATATTATGGGGTGTCAGCGAGACCGAGTGTCGCAATGCTTACATCGGTACAAGATATTCATAGAACCGAGCTTACAAATGTTTACATAGGTATCGAGCTGCTGCTCGGATTTCCAAAAGCGAAAGCTGGCAGGCCTTCAGTACATCAAAAGGGTTATTTCGTTCATTCAAGAAGCAAAAGGGAAGGTCCATGCAAAAGGAAAATCGGCTATCCGACTTCGGACCATTCACTGATAGAACTTCTTTAGGAAAACAGCATTCCATGGATATTGATGCGGTGTCCCATCAGGATGAGCAATTCGGTAGGCACCATGAGGTAGGACTTCAATGACTTGAAAGGGTCCTTCCCACCTCGGTCTGAGTGGGCCGGGGTCCGGCCACATTATGCGTTTAAGGACCAAATCTCCGACTTGGAATGAACGAGGCTTAAGTTTAGAATTAACATATCTTTCACTTCTATGTTTGTAAGCGGCATTTTTGAGTTCGGCACGGGTGCGATGCTCGTCAAGTAAGTCCAAGTTAGCTTTTAGGTTTTCCGAGTTGGACTCTTCGGTAAAATGTTGAACTCGATACGTCGGCTCGCCGAGTTCGACCGGGATCACGGCTTCTGAGCCGTAGGTTAAGGAAAACGAGGTCTCGCCGGTGGAAGTTCGAGTTGTTGTCCGGTAGGCCCATAGGACATGCGGCAACTCTTCGGGCCAAGCTCCTTTGGCGGCGTCAAGTCGGACTTTGAGGCCGTTTTTTATGAGCTTGTTCACGGCTTCAACTTGACCGTTGGATTGCGGGTGATAAGGCGAAGAGAAAAATTTTTTGATGTTGTATTCTTCGCACAGGGACTCAAGTCGTTTGCCTTCAAATTGTTTACCGTTGTCGGTAATGATGGAATTCGGCACCCCGAAGCAGCAGATAATTGATTTCCACACAAAGTCGACGACTTTTTGCTCGGTTATCGTGACTAACGGTTCAGCTTCGGCCCATTTAGTGAAATAATCAACGGCTACTATGGCGAATCGAACACCTCCTTTTCCAGTTGGCAAGGGACCTATGAGATCGATCCCCCATTTGGTAAAAGGCCATGAATTGTAGATTGATTTGAGTTCCTCAGGAGACTGGTGGACGTTAGGTGCAAACACTTGGCATTTCGGGCATTTGCGAACCCATGTGGCGGCATCGGTTTTCAAGGTTGGCCAGTAATAACCTTGTCGTAAGACTTTGTAAGATAAGGCCTGTGCACCGGGGTGGCTTCCACAAGTTCCTTCATGGATTTCTTCAAGGATATATCGTGAATCAGATTCATTTACACATTTCAACAGTGGGACGGAATATCCTCTTTTAAATAAAGTTCCGTTATCCAATGTATACCGAGCTGCTCGAATCCGAAGTGCTCGAGCTTCTTTTGGATCCAGAGGCAAGGCCCCAGTTTCTAAGTAGTGGATAATTGGATTCATCCAAGTTGATGGTTTTTGTGGTGTTACCGGATTGATGGTCGCAACCTCGGAAAGGGCAGTTGACGGTTGTTCTTGTTGTCCGATTTGGACATATTCCACGCTCTCCATCCCGGTACTGGAGGCCAATCGAGATAAGGCATCTGCTTGAACATTGAGAGTTCGGGGGATGTGTTCGACGTCAACGGAGAATTTTGATAATTTTTGCTTTGCTAAAGAGAGATACGGTGTCAACCGAGGTTCTTTAACTTCGTATGAACCATTGATTTGGTTGACAAGAAGCTGAGAGTCTGAGAAGATTTTGAGGTATTTCACGTTCATGGACTCAGCCAAATTTAATCCGGACAGCAAGGCTTCGTATTCGGCTTCATTGTTTGTCGCCGGGAAAAGAAATTTCACCGAGTGACAAAATAATCGGTTTTCCGGATTCTCTAGGATTATTCCTGCGTCGGCTCGGTTGGCTGTCGAGGAACCGTCGATATAAAGAACCCATGGTTGATCATCATGGTGAATTGTTATGGCCGGAGTGAATTCGGCGATAAAGTCGGATAAGGCTTGTGCCTTGATAGCGGTCCTCGGTTGGTAATGGATGTCGAATTGTCCGAGTTCAATCGCCCATTTTATCATGCGTACCGAGGTGTCGGGTCGGTGTAGGACTTGGCGTAACGGATACGAAGTGCGGACAGTTATAGAATGTTCTTGGAAATAAGGTCGCAATTTCCGGGCTGCAATTACAAGTGCAAACGCCAACTTTTCCATCGGAGGGTAACGTCGTTCGGCATCATGTAAGGCTTTACTGATGTAGTAAATGGGTGATTGAAGGGTTCCTTCCTCGTGCACTAAAACAGAGCTGATTGCCGAATCACTAACTCCGAGGTACAAAAACAGCATTTCCTCGGGCCTCGGTTTTTGCAACGTCGGTGGAGAGGCGAGTGTTTCCTTGATGCTGATAAGAGCTTTTTGACATTCTTCGGTCCATTCGAAGCGCTTTCCTTTTTTGATTGCTTCAAAGAAAGGTTTGCAACGGTCTGTGGATTTGGAAATGAACAGATTGAGAGCGGCAAGTCGGCCAGTTAGGGCCTGGACACCTTTAACCGAAGTTGGGGGAGTTAGGTCTTGGATGGCTTTTATTTTGGCCGGATTGGCTTCAATTCCGCGCTGGCTAACCATATAGCCCAGAAACTTTCCCGATTTAACTCCGAAGGTGCATTTCTTGGGATTTAGGACCATGGAATAAGATCGGAGGACATCGAACATATCGTGAAGGTGCGTTACATGGTCAGTAGCGTGCACTGATTTGACGAGCATGTCGTCGACGTAAACTTCCATAGTATGACCAATCATCGCGGCAAACATTTTATTAACGAGGCGTTGGTATGTAGCCCCGGCGTTCTTCAACCCAAAAGGCATCATTGTATAGCAGTACAGGCCTCGTGCCGAATAGAACGAGGTGTGTTCGGAATCTTCAGGATCCATCGGAATCTGATTGTAGCCGGAATAAGCATCCATGAAACTCATCAACTCGTGTCCCGACGTGGCATCAACCATGTAGTCTATATGTGGGAGTGGATAACTGTCCTTGGGACACGCTTTGTTCAAATCGGAAAAATCGATACACAGTCTCCATAGCTCGTTGCTCTTTTTGACAAGGACAGGATTTGAGACCCATGTCGGATATCTGGCTTCATTGATGAATTTGTTGTCGATGAGTTTGTTGACCTCTTCTTCCAGTGCCTTCTGTCGGTCCGGCCCCAGTTTTCTTCTTTTCTGAACAACAGGACGGACTGTTCGGTCGAGGTTTAGCTTGTGAGCGACACCGGGGTCGATGCCCTTCATATCTTCGTGTTTCCAGGCAAAAACATCAGAACTGTCTTTGAGAAATGAAATAAGTTCTGACCGAAGAGGCTCTTGGAGATGACTACCGATACGCAATGATTTGTGGAAAACTGGTTCACCAACGTATATTATCTCCACGTCTTCTCCAGGTTCGGCTCGATCACTTCGGCTTTTTTCTTTCAATTGGGCTCTTGGGTCCAACTCATCTTCTTCAAGGATGGGTTCCTTTCCAGGCCGACGACCTCGGTCTTCGGTCAAAGGATCCGAGGTGGGAGGATCACCGTCGTGGTTGTTTGGCTTTTCAGACACCGTGTCGTTTGAGACGCTTCGTAATGGTGGAGAGTTGCTCGTCGAGGTTGAATGGACGCCGCTAGATGGTACGAATGTAATAAGTTCTCGAGCTTCTCTTTGGTCCCCGAAGTGTGTCCCTTCTCCTCGTGTAGTCGGGAACTTCAGAGCGTAGTGAAAGATCGAAACTGCAGCTCGGAGTTTATACAATGTTGTTCTGCCGATGATGGCATTGTACTCATTATTAATATCCAGAATCTTGAAAGTTTCCATGACGAGCTTGGTGACATTCTCTGAAGTGCCGAATCTGACAGGTAAAGTGATCTCGCCGATAGGCTTCGAAATACTTCTGTTGAACCCTTGTATCTGATCATTGCAAGGTCGGATGTCGGTAGGATCAAGACCCATTTTGTAAAAAGCTTTTAACATCAAAATGCTCGAATAGGCCCCAGTATCCACCATAACACGATGTACGGGGATCCCGCATATTGGGACGGTGATAACAAGTGCGTCGGAATGAGGGTGTGCGAAATGATTAGCATCCTCCATATTAAAAGTTATGGGACAATTTCGATTGTTGAGGATGTCTCTCAAATCTGTAGTGTACACTTGTTTGCTGGAGTTGTACGCTTGTCGGGCATAGGCTTTGATTCGTCGACGTGACAATGTACTCCGGGAGTTATTGGTGTTGACACGGTGGACGGTGATTTGCATCGGTTCAGGAGATCGACCTCGTTTACGTCCTCGGGCAGTTCCAGCAAAGTCTGAATTGGGCGTTTCCAAGGTGAACATAAATACTTCCTTGTCTCCTTGTCGGATGCGTTTCGGCATGGTACCTCGGTCCTCCTCATCATCCTCATCATATGATTCGATCTGACGCCCTGGACCTCGTCTTTGGGGGTCGGTGTTGCGGTAGAATTTTCTAAGCTGAGGATGAACAATTAATCGTAACAGGGCTGCTAACAAACTTAGACACTCATCTGTGTTGTGCCCTGGTGATTTATGATAGTCACAATACCGGGACTTGTCCAACTTCTCCTCGGGCATCCGAAGTGGTTTGGGGTCCGGTAAAATGCCTTTTCCTTTGATCTCTTCATATATGGTAGCTGCCCCTGCGGAATATACGGTTTGATAACCGGATTTCACGTCGGTAGCATACTGTTTTCGGGTTGCTCGAACTTTAGGATCATTGGGGTCTCCTCGGGGAGGTCCACTGAATTGAGTCTTGCTTTGCTTGTCGAAAAATTTATTCTTCTTTTTCTCGTCGGTTCCCGCCTTAGAAGACTTCGGGTTAAAGTTAAAATCGGGGACCGACATGGCTTCTTCCGCTATGATGTGCTGCTGAGCTCGAGCAAGAAATTCTTGAAAAGTGTTTGGTTTATTTTGGCACAGTGTCCAGCGGAAAATCGAATTTGGTTTCAATCCCGCAATGGCCATGACAAGCAAGGTTTCTGGGTGACAAGGTTCCATGTTTTGAACTCGGTCGTTGAACCGGGCAATATAATCCTTCACACTTTCATCATCTTTCTGAGTTATATTTGCGAGAGATTCTTTCGGGATTAAACAGACTTGAGCTCCGATGAAATGAGATCGGAAAGCCGACCTCAATTGTTGCCACTTCCAAATTGAATGAGGAGGAAGAGAGTGATACCATTTTTGGGCCCGAGGCCCCAGCGTAAGCAAAAAAATACGACACCGGAGTGCGTCCGAGGCCCCATGCAGATCCATCCAAGAAGTATAATGACCGAGGTGCGAGTCAGGGTCTGATGTTCCATCATATAGCCCGATCTGGGGGACTTTGACTTTACCAGGTACAGGTTCCGAAGTGAGCTTCGGAGTGAGGGGAGAATCGGCTTACAAATACACTTGCGCCGAGGTGGAGGCCCGCCGAGGGGGATCTTCAGGTGCCCGTTGCCGACTTTCCAATTCGGCGATTCTTCGCCGCAATGTTTCAAGTTCGGATGACTCTTGACGAGCTCGATTTCGTTCTATGTGCTGCCGAAGGTCGGTCTGCGCCGAGTTAGAAGGGTTTCAGCGCTGTGTGTGAGGTGGTGATAGTCGTGAATGACCGGACTGGCTCTTGGCAGTTTCTTCATGAGGAAGTACAGGAGGATTGCGCCCGGCGTCAGTACGACGTGTAGTTTGTTCTGGAGGTGGTTGTGACGCTCTATCACGAGGTTGAGAGGTTGCGTGGGTTGTAGTTCTTCCGCCGTCTCGTTGCATAGGTGGATTCTGCAGATTCGCAGGAGTTGTGGGTATGATAGAGTGTCCCGGGGCAGCCGTCGATGTGCCGGGGATCGTTTGAGCCATTAAAGCGGCGAAACCACGTGCAAATTATGGATTTTGAAACAGAACAGTATAATCTGGTACAGGAGGAGCTACGGCTTGTCGTCTGGCGGAGTGGGCCGCGCTGCGACTGTGGCCGTCTCGTGAAGTATTACCACGATGATCCGAACGTGACATAATGAATATGGCTAATGTGAATCGTTACTTAAAAAAGCGGAGATTAACCTCAAATTACTTATGAGGCCCTTCTTCTAGCGCCAAACTGTTGTCGTATGATTCTTAACAACGAATTAAAGTTGAGTTTATGGGATAATTTTAATTGGTTTTAACGTAAAGCATGTAAGGGTTGTTCAACAATGGCCCCGGTCCGAGGTGAACCGAGGTGAAAAGCCTTTATAGGCTGTTACGTGTTGCATATTCATGAATTCGGGGATCCCCGTACAAATGTCATAGGCTCGCTATTTATAGTAGCTTTTTCGATACACACATTGAGATTCGTGTATTATTTTTCGTATAAAGTAACTTTTTGGTGGGCGGTTGTAGCAGTGGGTCCCACGTGAATGATGATAAATCTCGTGGATTGTGATAGGTGTGTGTAGACGCCTTGTCACCTGTTTTAGGAGGTGACGACCTCGGTTTCAGTTGACCTCGGCAGGTGATGACCTTGATTTAAGTTAATGTCGGTAAGTGGAGGTTACTTCGGTCTTCGGTAGTTCGGACCGGTTCATTGTGTGGACTGGTGTGGCTTCGGATCACGTCGGTTCAATAGTTAATTTCACTTAACATGATGCTTGAAACTTCTTAATGGTGTTTTGCCGAGTCGAATGATAACAGATAAAGCATGGACAAGCAATGAATTTTGATAAAGTTTTTCTGAAAGTTCGACTAATGAGAAGTGTCGTTCGGTAAGTTGCATTCTTTTCGTATAAGTCCGTTCAAAGTTCTTTGAACTAGTAGAAGAAGTATTCTAACATTAAGTTTTACCTCCAAAGTTGGTTAGTATGAGTAATGTTTTTCACGTATTGATGATACGTATATACGTGAACAATCCAAATTATGTGCTTTAGCACAATGAGATTTAGATTTAGTAAATTTTAAATTACGAGGAATAGCCGGTATCAGTTTTAGACCAAAAGGTTCATTGGCTAAGGAATCGAGATATTCCCCTCGTTTGTATAAAATGGAATTGCCACAGAGAATAAGATGCCATTTGGGAGGGATAAACTGATGTTAGAATTTTAGATTTTAAAGTTTTTGATATATACTCAGATAATATATATCCCAATTTCAGTATTTCCGAGGACGAAAATAGTTTTAAGGGGGGTAGAATGTAATATCCCATTCAGTTATTAGTAATAAGTATCAGTTTATTTCCAAGATTGAGCTATTTTGAGGCTTAAAAAGTTAAAATTTTAAAGTTTTAAAGTCACACGGGTCGTGTGGGTAGCCACACTGGTCGTGTGAAGTCACACGGGTCGTGTGACAAGCCACACGGGTCGTGTGGCTCAAGGCACTATTCAAGTTTAGCTTCGGTTTATTCACACGGGTCGTGTGACTTAAGTGACACGGGTCGTTTGAGTTCACACTGGTCGTGTGACTCATGTGACACGGGTCGTGTGGCGTCACACGGGTCGTGTGACTAGTGACACTGGTCGTGTGACCGACAAAATTTCAGATTTTTATGATTCGAGTTTGATGCCAACTAAAGTGTATTTTGAGCAATTAAATATGCTTAGCTGAAAATTTGAAATGTTTGGTGAGGACTTGTTTAAGTGATGAATTTTTACAAGTTTAAATTGTTTAATTTGTTAATTTCTTCACTCCATGTAACACCCCTCCTTATCGTAAAATCAGAGTGCGAAAATTTCGCAAAG